GTTGTATAAACTTAGTGATCTTAAAGCTCGGCGCGTATGGGTTATATAACGTTAGAAACGAGAAATGATATATAAAAAGTTTCTTGTGTCATATGGCTTTATTTTATACTTTTCTCTTGTCGAAAAACATGATATTTTCATATTCTTAAAACTTGTAAAAAATACCAGAAAATAAGATGTCTGTTTAATAAGTCACGTAAAAATGTAAAATAATTTCTTGAAATAATGGTACTGCTCAGCTATTAAAAATCAATCATCAATTGACCAATCACATTTGTCATTTCTGTTAATAACAAATGTGATTGGTTAATTCCAATGGAATAATCGGTCGAATAAGATTAACCGGAGTAGTTGGACTGGTCCTTTATCCTTATCTTTCATCGAATGTTAACAAGGATAGAATGTATTTGGTGTTCACCATAGACATAGTATAGATAGACCGAGCATACTATATCAGGCAATGGGCGACATGTGCGAATGAGAAGAAACAACTCTCTCCACTCAATATTTCCCCCACCTTCTTCTATTAGAGAGAGAAAAAAAATTAGATGTCGTTTCTGATATATAGCATGCTCGGTCTATCTATACTATGTCTATGGTGTTTACACACCATAGACATAGTATAGATGCTTTCTCTGTCAAACAGCCTATATTGATGATTGAGAATTAAAGGTTCGAAGATCTTCGGTTAAGTTATCGATTGAATTTTGAAGAATTTTTTTTCTTCGTTATCTGCTGGAACTTGTATCGTGTCTTTAACCTGTTCTTTCGCGTTATATGACGAATCAACTGAAATTGAATTTGTCGAGATTACTTGTACGTTAAGAAGATGACAACTCCCCTTCAAATGCAACTTATAAATGCTTTAGGAAACAAAACAAAATACCTTGCGGAATTAAAGAAAACATTCGCGCGTCCATTAATACAGCGTGAGTTTATTTTCTTGAATATCAATTAAAATTGGTCTAAATAAATATAACTTACATAAAACAAAATAAGTGTAGTAAGTGTGTAAATATTTTTGAAGTGTAATACATATACAAAAAGTGTGTGTGTGTGGGGGGGGGGGGTGCGCGCGCGCCATATCACATCTAATATTCATAATAAAAGATATAAATTTACATTAATATCTAAAAAAAAATTATAGTTGCAGTGAAAGCAATAGAAATGGAACATATAGAAGATGGTATACTAGAACGAATAAGTAAGAAATATAATATACCTGAAGAACATGTAGATGAATATTATGCTGCTATTCTTACAATTTTGAAAATGCATTTATGTTCACAATATCATAATATCAAACCTGCAGAATTTAAACAATGTTTGGAGGAATTGAAGTAAGTAATGTACATGTGCTAGTTTTTCATATTTTTTTAGTAAATAAAATGTATATATCAATATATTAATAACACATTTGCTTAAAATATAATAGATTTAGCATTCTTTAAGTTCATGTTAAATCTATGTTTTGCTGATAGATTTTGAGATATCTTAATGGTAAATTAGGATAAATTGGTAACAAAAATCAAATAGAATTTGCAAAATTCTGTTTTATTTCTGTTGCCAATCTGTATCAAACTAGCAAATTTGACAATTTTTTCTGCTTGATTTGATGAGTCATTAATTGTATAATTTTATCAATAATGTTGATTGTTGATTTTGTTGATTTTAGCCAATATTCTGCATTATTATATATTTCAAATCTTATATCAAATTTATAATAATAAAATTTTCATTAATAAAATTTGTAACAAATATTTAACAACATTCATTTTTGATAAATTTGACTATTTAGATTATGTTGATTCCGTTACATATAAGAAATATAAATAAGCTTATATTGTCACTAATTATTATAATAATATAAATTATATATTCATTTTTTTTATAATAAAAATTATATGAAAATCCTTTAAATGGAAACTATAACTGTATTTTCTAACTGCATTCTGCATATTACAGGTTGAATTCAGACTGTGTAGAAGATTTAATTTCTGTAGTTTATGGCCCAAAACAATCAGATCTATTAGCAGGTTTAATTCAGAGAACAAAATTTTATCCACAGCTAGTATCTTGTAAATGGCGTATAGATATTACTATTTCATCTAAGTATGCTTTAGATTTTAAACAGATATTTGTACTAAAATAATATATTATGAGACATGTTCTAATAAATCATTTTTTTCATTTCAGTATATTGAATAAAGTACTAGAGCCAAATATTGTGATGGAATGGATCTTTAATACTGGTGAATCAGTAACATTTGAATTATCTCTGGCAAAGTTCCATCAATTGAGACATGCTGTAGCTACCATTCTCGTTGAGATGCAAGCACTGGAACGGCATAGTATTTTCAAAAGTGTTTTGCCCAGTTGATAATCATTTTACCTCAATATAATTTTCACAAAATGTATAGTTTATATAATTTATTTCTGTTATATAAGAATATATAAAAAATATTTGTCTTTGATATATCCAATTTATAATATAAGTAAAAATTAATATTGTACAATCAGAATTCCACTCCTTAATATGTACTTTTATAAAAAAAATTTGTATTTTTAAATCAATAAGAATAGGAAGATTAAAATCATATATAATATATTTATTCTTTCACATTTATTTTGTGTCAGATTAAATGTTTCTTTTTTTTCCTCAGTATAATTGCTAAAGGTTCCTTTTCATGCTCGACGCTCATTTTTAGCGTCAAACTAGATCACGTGATCAAAATTAATATAGAATAGTGAAATCTGAAGTTCCTCATGCAGACACCGGTACTTTGACACAGAATGCTAATTGGTGAAAATGAGTAGTGGGAATAAATAGTAAGTACTATTTACTCCCACATTAGCGCCCTATATCAAAGCGCCGATGCTGATGGGGATCCAGCCTAAATGATTATTTTTGATCACGTGATCTAGGGTACATGATCAAGGGCTTACTACAAATGCTTTGAAGCATTTTTTGATTGGTGCATTAGTCTTTGTTTTGATTAGACAAACGCTTCGAACATTTGTTACATTAATCGTAGTTTGATGCTTAAAATGAGCGTCAGCATGAAAAGACACCTTAATACAAGGCAAAATTGTTAGTTACTTTTAGATAACGCTTGAATCTATTTTATACATATAGTCTACGTAACGTATTCTATAGATTTTCAGTACTGGCAGTGAATTTACGAACACAGCCTAAATGAATCCATGACTGCCCAACAAAATTGGCGGGAACAAATGCGTCTGACAGAAAACGTCTACAGAAGTGAAATCATGAAGAGTTTACTTTGTTAAGGTGTGTTAAAGAAAATAAATAGAAGTGTTCAGTGAATATTGAATATTAATTAGTGAATAGTTCAGTGAATAGTGATTAGTGAAAGAAGATAAAGTGAACTGAGAACGAAGAGTTATTTTCTCTTCGGAAAATAAAAATTTATACAGATTTTCAATACTTCAAGAAGAAACTTTGATTTTAGATTTGTTGCAGATACTGCTTCTTGGAAGATATAAGAAGATATGCGAAACAAAAAAAATACAAGGAAAAAAAATGTCGACCCATAAATCAAGTTCATGGTGTGTTGCGATGAAATGCAACAATAAAGTTACAGAAAAAAGACACTTTTTTATGTTTCCAAAGGAATATGACAGGTACAATTTTGTTTTAGTTTTTTTTTCAAACATGTTTAATTTAGTTATGTTTTAGTTATGTTTGTGTGTGTGTATGTATGTATGTATATCTTTAACTTTTCTCTTAAATATATTTATTTATTTATTATTATATATTTATTTATATATACATATATTTTATTTTTTATTAACAATATTTTGATAAAATATAGATGGATGCAATGGATACGTGCTTCTAAAAGATTTGATTTAAAAGTAATGGGCCCAGAATATGCTCATCGTAACTATCGACTGTGTCACTTGCATTTTGAAGAAAAGTGGTATAAAATAGGTAAAAGTAGAGCCAGTCTTCATCCTGATGCTATACCAACGATATTTTTTGGAACAAAGTAAATAATAAATTTTTTATAAAACACATTTTTTATTTTAAATAACATTTTCTTTTTTTTGAAGCAATTATAAACAATAATTGATAATGTATAAAACAATACTATAACATTTGTAGCGATATACTTGTAACAACAGCACCAGAAGAAATTGTCAACGATTGTCAAAGATTATCAACGATTGTCAAAGATTGTCAACAAGAGGAAACGAACAGGTTTTTTAACTTCTACATAAATATTCTTATAAATATAAATCTTTCTAATATTAATGTTTTGCTTTTGCTGCTATATCTTATTGCCAACTAAATAAATAAATTTTATTTTTTATTTAGATATGACTAGAATATTAAAAAGATATATTTCAGCAATATCCAGTCATCAAAAACAATATTACCTATGGATACAGATGCTGAAATCACTAA